TCAATGGGTCAATGCACGGCTTGCAGAGGTGCCCCACCTGGACGGAACCCTCAGTCCAGGCGTGTGCCTGACCGGGACTGAACCAGGGACCTTCCAGAGGACAGGACGGCCCTCCACCCACTGAGCCACATTCCTGCCACCGAGTCAGTCCCCGCTCTGGCTCTTCACTCCCTTTGCACCTTGCTTCCCGTGTGTCCTAAAGTCCAGCCCGACTTCACCAGACGCCACGTGTCCACGGTCAGGCTGTCGGCCCTGCCACACTCACACACACTGAACTCTCGCAATGTTCGTGAGTGATTTTAACACACGTAACCAGGGCCTGTGTAGGCTGTCGAGATCCAGGGGGCTAAACACAGCCAAGTCAGAGATACAGGGACAGGCCACGGGCACGAAACCGGTGCCCAGCACTGGAAGCGCAGCACGCCGACAGGACGGCCCTGAACAATGGCGCCGCCTCACACAGCAAGTCGGCTGCCATGTCACGGTCGCAACCCGGTATGCTCTGATATGGGGGCCCCCCACTCTCTCCCTCACAATCCCCACCGACAGTCAGAGAGCCCAGGAGAAAGCAAAGGGCGGCCTCAGCGATGGTCAGCCATAGCAGCAGGACACAGAGGGGAGCAGCCGCCTCGCCCACGGGCAGTGCAGCGTGAGGAGCAGAGGAGGGAGGCCCCGGGAGAGAGGAGCAGAGGAGGGAGGCCCCGGGAGTGGGGAGCAGAGGAGGGAGGCCCCGGGAGCGAGGAGCAGAGGAGGGAGGGCCCGGGAGAGAGGAGCAGAGGAGGCAGGCCCCGGGAGAGGGGAGCAGAGGAGGGAGGCCCGGGGAGAGAGGAGCAGAGGAGGGAGGCCCCGGGAGTGGGGAGCAGAGGAGGGAGGCCCCGGGAGCGAGGAGCAGAGGAGGGAGGGCCCGGGAGAGAGGAGCAGAGGAGGCAGGCCCCGGGAGAGGGGAGCAGAGGAGGGAGGCCCGGGGAGAGAGGAGCAGAGGAGGGAGGCCCCGGGAGTGGGGAGCAGAGGAGGGAGGCCCCGGGAGCGAGGAGCAGAGGAGGGAGGGCCCGGGAGAGAGGAGCAGAGGAGGCAGGCCCCGGGAGAGGGGAGCAGAGGAGGGAGGCCCGGGGAGAGAGGAGCAGAGGAGGGAGGCCCCGGGAGTGGGGAGCAGAGGAGGGAGGCCCCGGGAGCGAGGAGCAGAGGAGGGAGGGCCCGGGAGAGAGGAGCAGAGGAGGCAGGCCCCGGGAGAGGGGAGCAGAGGAGGGAGGCCCGGGGAGAGAGGAGCAGAGGAGGGAGGCCCCGGGAGTGGGGAGCAGAGGAGGGAGGCCCCGGGAGCGAGGAGCAGAGGAGGGAGGGCCCGGGAGAGAGGAGCAGAGGAGGCAGGCCCCGGGAGAGGGGAGCAGAGGAGGGAGGCCCGGGGAGAGAGGAGCAGAGGAGGGAGGCCCCGGGAGTGGGGAGCAGAGGAGGGAGGCCCCGGGAGCGAGGAGCAGAGGAGGGAGGGCCCGGGAGAGAGGAGCAGAGGAGGCAGGCCCCGGGAGAGGGGAGCAGAGGAGGGAGGCCCGGGGAGAGAGGAGCAGAGGAGGGAGGCCCCGGGAGTGGGGAGCAGAGGAGGGAGGCCCCGGGAGCGAGGAGCAGAGGAGGGAGGGCCCGGGAGAGAGGAGCAGAGGAGGCAGGCCCCGGGAGAGGGGAGCAGAGGAGGGAGGCCCGGGGAGAGAGGAGCAGAGGAGGGAGGCCCCGGGAGTGGGGAGCAGAGGAGGGAGGCCCCGGGAGCGAGGAGCAGAGGAGGGAGGGCCCGGGAGAGAGGAGCAGAGGAGGCAGGCCCCGGGAGAGGGGAGCAGAGGAGGGAGGCCCGGGGAGAGAGGAGCAGAGGAGGGAGGCCCCGGGAGTGGGGAGCAGAGGAGGGAGGCCCCGGGAGCGAGGAGCAGAGGAGGGAGGGCCCGGGAGAGAGGAGCAGAGGAGGCAGGCCCCGGGAGAGGGGAGCAGAGGAGGGAGGCCCGGGGAGAGAGGAGCAGAGGAGGGAGGCCCCGGGAGTGGGGAGCAGAGGAGGGAGGCCCCGGGAGCGAGGAGCAGAGGAGGGAGGGCCCGGGAGAGAGGAGCAGAGGAGGCAGGCCCCGGGAGAGGGGAGCAGAGGAGGGAGGCCCGGGGAGAGAGGAGCAGAGGAGGGAGGCCCCGGGAGTGGGGAGCAGAGGAGGGAGGCCCCGGGAGCGAGGAGCAGAGGAGGGAGGGCCCGGGAGAGAGGAGCAGAGGAGGCAGGCCCCGGGAGAGGGGAGCAGAGGAGGGAGGCCCGGGGAGAGAGGAGCAGAGGAGGGAGGCCCCGGGAGTGGGGAGCAGAGGAGGGAGGCCCCGGGAGCGAGGAGCAGAGGAGGGAGGGCCCGGGAGAGAGGAGCAGAGGAGGCAGGCCCCGGGAGAGGGGAGCAGAGGAGGGAGGCCCGGGGAGAGAGGAGCAGAGGAGGGAGGCCCCGGGAGTGGGGAGCAGAGGAGGGAGGCCCCGGGAGCGAGGAGCAGAGGAGGGAGGGCCCGGGAGAGAGGAGCAGAGGAGGCAGGCCCCGGGAGAGGGGAGCAGAGGAGGGAGGCCCGGGGAGAGAGGAGCAGAGGAGGGAGGCCCCGGGAGTGGGGAGCAGAGGAGGGAGGCCCCGGGAGCGAGGAGCAGAGGAGGGAGGGCCCGGGAGAGAGGAGCAGAGGAGGCAGGCCCCGGGAGAGGGGAGCAGAGGAGGGAGGCCCGGGGAGAGAGGAGCAGAGGAGGGAGGCCCCGGGAGTGGGGAGCAGAGGAGGGAGGCCCCGGGAGCGAGGAGCAGAGGAGGGAGGGCCCGGGAGAGAGGAGCAGAGGAGGCAGGCCCCGGGAGAGGGGAGCAGAGGAGGGAGGCCCGGGGAGAGAGGAGCAGAGGAGGGAGGCCCCGGGAGTGGGGAGCAGAGGAGGGAGGCCCCGGGAGCGAGGAGCAGAGGAGGGAGGGCCCGGGAGAGAGGAGCAGAGGAGGCAGGCCCCGGGAGAGGGGAGCAGAGGAGGGAGGCCCGGGGAGAGAGGAGCAGAGGAGGGAGGCCCCGGGAGTGGGGAGCAGAGGAGGGAGGCCCCGGGAGCGAGGAGCAGAGGAGGGAGGGCCCGGGAGAGAGGAGCAGAGGAGGCAGGCCCCGGGAGAGGGGAGCAGAGGAGGGAGGCCCCGGGCGCAGGCCAGCATCCATGCTGCTCAGAGCAGCGCTGTCTAGAGAGACCAGATGACCTGGCGGGACTTGGGCTTCCTAACAGACACCGCAAACATCAAAAAGAGGCGGAAAATTACCTTCACGCTACATTTCACTTCCCCCAATGTATCAAAAATACTATTCAACATGCGATGGATAACCTATCACGATCCCTTTTACACCTCAAATCCGTCTCCTCGACCCAGCAAGCAGGACTGTGCCTGGGCTCCCTCGGGCAGTCATCCGGGGGTTCCCGGGCTCCCGCACTGCTGCTCTGATGCTAGTGCCTCGAAAACCACTGCTACCAACACCTCATCTGCTTCAATCGCTTTAGGCGGGAGGGTAAACCCTGTCCACTGACTTATCTTAGCCAGAAGCAAAATCCTTCACAATTTCTGACTGAAGCTGTAGTGCTGTAGCATCTTTTCTGGTCATAGATCCCTGTAAATCCTCTTGTATGAAGTAAACTAGTATTCCTTTCTATAAATGCATCTTAAATTTTCAACTCCCCTACTGGCAAACACTGAGATTATCTTTAATTTTCTAACGGGATGAAAAACTGCCCTAGGCCAATGTTCATTACCCACTTGCCTAAGGCTAAGACCAGGAGTGGAACCAATGGAACGCAGATCTAGTTTGAAGGATTGTATTCTGCCCAATTGCCTTTTCAGACGGTTGCGTCACCACTGACAAAACCCTAAGTAGTTTTATGTTTGCCGATTTGACAAGTGAATCATGTTCTTACAGGAACGCGCCAACCCTAAAGACAGCTTTGGTCAACAACGAACCGCGTATATGAGTGGCCCCTTCAAACTGTAATGCTGGGGAACGCCTACGGCCTGGTGCTGTCACCGCGCAAAGGCTGCGGTGTCGCCAGGGCTGTGGGTGAGCTGGCACGCGGCTCTCACGGGTGTGGGCGGGGATGGCACCGCGGCTCCTGCAGGGGTTCCTGGGAGCTGACTCCCAGGAGCTGCTGGAACTGGAGCAGGAACGCAGCTGAAGAGGCAGCGAGCGGAAAGGGAACGGAGGAGGGGAAAAGGACCCTCAGAAAGTTCACCGTGAAGGCCAGCGGAAGTGCTTACAGACTTCAACACGCTCCTTAAACAGCATGACAGCACGGCCCGCCTGGCAGGTGTGCTCAGCGGCTGGAACATCAGTCAGGGGTCGTGGGGTCAATCACAGTCAATAGACGTACCTGGCCCTACCTGGTTTGGCTCAGTGGCTAGAGCATCAGCCTGCAGACCAAAGGGTCCCAGGTTTGATTCTGCTTAAGGGAACGTACCGTGGTTGCAGGCTACTCCCCGGCCCAGGTCCTGGTCAGGGCTCATGCAGGAGGTAACCAATTGATGTGTTTCTCTCACATCAATGTTTCTCTCTCTCTCTCTCTCTCTCTCTCTCTCTCTCTCTCTCTCTCTCTCTCCCTTCCTCTCTGACATCAATAAAAATATAAAAATTTAAAAAAAGAGCATGAAGCTGGGTTGCGGGCTCAATCCCAGACCCAGTTGGGTGCACGCAAGAAGCAAGCGGTCAGTGTGTCTCCCTACATCGGTCTCTGCCCCCCTCCCTTCCACTCTCTCTAAAAATCAATGGGAAACATCCTCAGTGAGGATGAACAACAACAAAAACAACGTATAGAATAAGAATATAACATTTTTTTCTAAAAACAGAAAACATATTTTTGTACAGTTATACAATGTGTTTGTGTTTTAAGCTACGTGTTATTACACAAGAGCAGCCCACACCGCTGGGAGCCTGCACCCTGAGGGCCACCCGCGGCTGGCCCAGTGCCAAAGAGAGCGAGGCAAGGGTCTGCTCACTGGACAGGCACGGGTTGTTCCAATGACTAAAATAATGTAAAATATCAAAGAGAAGATGGTTTTTAAATGATCACAGCTGAGCGCCAATTAAATATACACATGCTCTCACACAGTCCGGGTATGAAAGGGGGCAGCCCTGACCAGTTTGGCTCAGTGGACAGAGCATCAACCCGGGGACCGAGGGTTCGGTTCCTGGTCAAGGGCACGTACCTGATTGTAGGCTCGATCCCTGGCACTGGAAGGCAATCAATCAATCAATGTGTCTCTCTCACATAAATATCTCTCTCTCTATCTTCCCCCTCCCTTCCACTCTCTCTCAAAAAAATAAATGCAAAAATATTCTCGGAAGAGGATTAACAACAACAAAAAAAGGAGGAGGTGCTGCTCATTGGTGTCCGGGAGAAGTCCAGGGAGGGGCCCTTTAAAGGCTGAGAGACGAAGTTACCGATGAAACGCATGAAGCGCTTCTGCACTGGAAGTCGAGGCACCTACCTGAGCGACTGGCCCACGATGCTCTCACAGATGGTCAGACAATGGTTCACGCGGTCCTTCTTGGTGGCTGAGAGCTCCTTCTTTCTGAAAGAAAAGGAAGGGAAGGAGTGAGCTGTGCTGAACCAGGCGCCCACCTCTTGCTGCCCGTCCCTGACGCTCGCGTCCCTGATGCTCCCGTCCCTGACGGCACTCATGGCGCCTCGGAAGGCACCACACAGTCCGCACGGCACTCATGGCACCTCGGAAGGCACCACACAGTCCGTACGGCACTCATGGCACCTCGGAAGGCACCACACAGTCCCCGCGGCACTCATGGCGCCTCGGAAGGCACCACACAGTCCGCGCGGGGGCAGAGTGCGGTCAGGGCCGGGAGGCGCGGAGGGCTCAGCCCGGGCTTCCTTATCCACAAGCTCCGGAGCAACGCCAGGTGATGCTCCCGATGCACCTGGCTTTCCCCTGCTCACGGAGACACTTGGTCCCAGTTATGAATTACAGACACGGGCTCATCGTTTCTATCTCCCCAACCGCAGATAGAAATGGGCCGCCTGCTCAGAGCCTTTCTGCACAGCCTCCTCCTGACTCCCCAGCCCACGGGAGGGGGTGCAAAGCCAGGCCCAGAAGCCCAGGCTTGAGGGGCCTGCCCCAGGCTCCAGGGGGCTTCACGGAGGCGGGGGAGGGGGGCGCACACACAGAGGAAGCAGGAGAAGCCGCTCCTGGAGCACGGCCAGACACAAATGTGAGTGCAGTCACCAATGCGTGGCACTAACTAGAAACGACTAAACCAGGAAACTACTGGGTGTGAGATGCTGTGACTTCAGGGGGGAGGGCGGCTAACCTACAAACACTGTGACCAACGCAGCCCTCAGGC